AATTTATTACGCAGGAAAGAACATTTTAGTCTGAAATGAAATTATATTTCCGTGCCGATCGCTTTTCCAGATTAGATCCTACTGATCAAACTTAGAATCAATCCAGTCGTCTGGTTTTATCTGTAATGTATACGCAAGAATCTATGTACAGAATCCCATAATCAAATACGTGTATGGAGTAAATTGCATTCGAGAGACAAACACATACCCTCCGTAGCTTTGCTCCGTCATGCATTTAATCGTATGATTTTTTTCTCAATCATCGAAAACATTCAACCTTATTTTAATAATTCATTTGACCGATTCCGTATTTCTCGTGAAACCGAAATATCAATGGCGAGCGACATAAAAAAAAAAAAAAAGTATAAGCGTTTTAGTTACTCGATATTCGTAAAGATTCAATACCGGACGAGTAAGACCACAACCTTACTCCGAGTCAAAATATAGACAAAATAGAGGAAATAAAACCTATTCGAATCACACATTTTCTTTATTTATAACGCACGTACATGACGTAAATGCAATATTTATTATTATATATACATAATATTACGTATAATTTTAAAATTTCGATTATTTCTGAACACCACGTGTATACACATAAAAAAGAAAATACTATTGGTTATGGAATATTTAAACAAAAATTATTACTAGAATTGAACTTCGAAATTTTTTCTATTATACCTAGCAATTTTAATTAGTTTTGTTATTCTTATTAATTTTTTATCCACGTAACTTAAAGGATTTTTTATTAGTTACTTTCTAAAAATATTTTAAAAAATAAATTTCTTTATGTATTACCATCGATTAAATTATGATTTTTTTGATTTTGCTCTAACTCCAAAACTAATTTTTGTAAATGATTGAAATTTTAATCAAATGTTTATATTAGCGATATCAATTAACGATTAAATTTTCACAGTATTTAGATTTTTTTAACCTATTTATAGACCATTAAAACTTTCGATTTTTCTAATTTTTTTTTTTTTTAAATACGGATAAAAAAAATTTGGCTTCTAAAATATCTTTAAAATTTAATATAAGGTATATTATAAGTTGTTCTTATTGTAGAAAAAAAAAAAATCAAAAATCCCTTTTTCAAAGAGACATTTCAGAGGATATCTATGGGACAACTCAGAGGGTGTTTATGGGACATCTCAGAGGGTGTCTATGGGACACTTCAGAGGGTGTCTATGGGGCACTTCAGAGGTTGTCTATGGAACACTTCAGATGGTGTCTATGGAACACATCATATGGTGTTTATGTGATACATCAGAGGGTGCCTCTAACATTACCTAACCTCACCTAATCCTCTGAAGTGTCCCATAGACACCATCTGAAGTGCCCCGATTTATAAAGTGAAACATTATATTAGTTAACTATTTCACATACAAGCTACTAGTTCAAAATAAAGAACTATAGTTGTCCAGTTATACTATCAGTGCTGGATCTAGGGGGGGGAGAGGTAAGTGAGTATGCTTGCCCCAGGTGCTGTTGGAATAAAAACGCTCTTAAGTTGAGGAAAAATAAAACATTCATGAACATACCTCATTCTTCTACCTTCATAGGAGCACTGCATTTTTATTAGCCTCTAGTGCATAATTTTCTAGATCCAGTATTGGATACTACTACACTTGCGAATGATAAAATAGCATGGTAGTTCGTCCAAAAAGTTCAAATGTTTTGACTTCACTGAGAAACTAGTATGCTTGGATAATATTTTACTAATTTTCTATACTCAATTTATACGATGCATTTTTGCTAGTAAATTTTAAGCTACCTTACTAGTTGCTTGTTTACTATAGCACCGTGTAATAAAGGCATAATTGGTTAAACAGGGTTTTGAATAGTTGACTTTGGATCGCACACAGAAAAATTTTTTCCGTAACTACGAGTATATCTATTACCACGTCATTCGATTGTTGAAAGTCTTAACCTATTATAATTACGTCCACTCAAAAAGAAAAATTTCGTGAATTATTTTCAAAATCCACAAGAAACTATGTATATTTTAAGCGACACATTATTATTATAAAATATGTAAAAGGTCATGAACGACTGGGAAAAATTCGAATAATATCCGAAGGTACTCTGCAGTGAAAATATTTTTTGTTTAAATCCAAACTGTTGTGGCATTTAACTGGAAGATATATATTATTTTTTTATACATATAAAAAGGTTCTTCGAGAATATTATGTTAGCATTATAGATGATTTCTCGCCGAATTGTATATACGTATATATTGTATAAATGTAAAACTATTTTATACCGACTGATAAAAATCTTAAATATATACACCATATACATACTTATCACCACTCTATCTTGGTCTCGCGTTCAAAAATATTTAAATTCTGACGCTTGTATGTATATACGAGTATATATAAATATATTTAGTTGAATCATAGGGAATCGTGGAAACGGCAGCATCATCTATTGACCTTGTGTGCAATACATTATTATACGATTATTATTATCATATGATGTAAAAATAGTAAAGTCAAAATATATCAATATTTACATAAACATGTAGCGAATCTCCCGATTTTATTCATTTGATTTACCAATTTCTGCAGTCCTCCTCTTAGTGTCTTGTGTAAAATATCAATATATTTAATGCGACATCCTTGGCTGATCGATATATTTGATTATAATATAAAATAACGGTCGAATAATAACATTTATACAATTGCGTCTGTGGATGTGGAGAATTTATTTCGGCACGAGCATATTTCATGATGCTATCAACGTTCAGCAGAGACGTTTTGAGATGGTATTTTTTTCTCCGTGAAAAAGAGAATGACCTGGTTATATTAAATAAATTGTCTGTAATTAAAAATAATACAGGTCAAGTGCGAATGATATTACAGAAACTGACGCTAATTACTTTTTAGGTTGAAAACTCGTATACTAATATACACAACGATAATAATTCGATGGTTAATAACAACCAGAGATCAATGTGTAGAATTATTTCCTTGAGAAATCACGCACCAAGAGGAACACCATTTTCGTTCTTGTTAATTTTCATATAATACAGTACAATTTCAAAACTCAAGCCCGATTTTGAAATTTCAATTGTTTTGTATGGGGATGTATTATATTGATTGAAATTCTAGTCTCACCAAATATTTAGCTTCAATTTTTTCAATACTATTGAATCCACTTATTAAATATATTTTAGTTTTATTAAATTTATTTTGTTTCTCATGTGAGTTAGCATTGATCATATTGATTATTATTAATCTCGCTCACTCCCATTCCCTCCCAAATTACTGTCTTTCAACACCTTATTACATATGTTTGAAAAAAGTATTGATTCATCTTTATGAATATAGTTGCCACGTATTAAGACCAGACGAGGGCGTTATTTTTGGTAGTGTAAAGCCCCTACATTGACGGGACATCGGTAGGGTAAACGTTTAATTTAATATAATATTCTTCTATTGAGAACGTACCATTTGGTTTTGATCATACATTTTCGTTGGGTAATTATTATTCGCACTTGATAACGTTGGTGCAAAATATTATGAGGTTAAAAATAAGAATAATCGATTAGAATAAAAAAAATATATATAGATATACATATATCAAAACCGTGTAAATAAGATGAATTTGAATTTATTGAATATTATACCTTTATCATCAAATAAAATCTATTCTCCCGGCGTTCTCCTATCTCTTGTTCATTTCCAATTCCCCGCACTCTTCCTACTATAGTTTTTATAGTATATAATCTATCCGTCTCTCGTACGTTTGCGTTCTGCCATAACAACATAGGAAACAGCACCGAAATAACCTCTTCGGAGATCAATGTTGTACATTTTGGTAAATTTGAGTCGATATTTTATGGAATTAGGAATAAAATTTACTTCGTATATTCACGTAAATATAAATTTATAGTAAACAGTACAAATAATAAAAAAAATTAGGCAAAACTGTTTATTATAGAAAATGTATAGTAAAATATTTTAATAATAGTGTCCTATTATCCAAAATAAAATACCATTATATCAATTTAAATGCGACTGTTTTATTTTTTAGTTGTTATAAAGAAAAAATATATCTTTAAACAGTAAATTAAAAATAATTGTGTATATAGTTTATCAAAACAGAATTAATTTAAATTTGATTAATACGTATATAACTATTACATATAGAAATTATTATATTCAAGCATTTGTTTGTTAATTCAGTTTTTATTAAAAATATATTGTAAATTTGAATATGATGTATATCTAAGCTTACACTAGTCATGGAAATACATCTGATGCGGAAAATGCAAAATTCCACAACATTTCAAAAATGTTAACTACACGAACTTAAAAAATGTTGTAAATGTAAGTGATAGTAAACAGGGATAATTTAAACTAAGTTAATGTAAGTATCATAGACAAAATTAAATTTTACACGCAATGTTTTTTATTTTTTAGAGTAAAAGTGTGATTTACTTGTAACCTCCCAAGTAAAACATGGATAACTTAAAAACTGTTGAGGTACGATCAAGTACAAACGAGTTGCAAACAATTGGGACCGGATCGAACCCGAAATCTGAAAGTGGGGGTGCAGGGGAAATGGACCTCCGCGAATAGGCTCTCCGAACAAGATGTCTAGGACGGCGAACTTAGGTCAGCCCGAGAAGATATATTACCACGTCGTTGTGCATGTATACTAAATGTTGATTCTATGTTTTTAAAGGGGATAATGCGGGGCACGTGCCTTGTCTCCCCGTGTAAGTTGTATATACTTGTTCGCTTGAGCCCGTATTCGAAACACCAGCACCCGCTGAGGAAGGTAGTTCCTGGACCCTCGAGGGCTTATTAAATTTGTATGTATTTTATATGATTTTTACTCAACAAACGATGATGCATGCGGGTTAAGTTCAATGCTCGTGAAACGTAAACGGCGTTTCGGAAACGTAAAGACCATCGTTTTCGGACACGAGTCCCTCCCCATCCACCGGTAACCACGAGCCCCGTTACGGTAGCGCGCGCACTTACCGGACGTGGAGTTGATGTTCTTCAACGTCGGGCATATCTTCCACAGACCGATGCGGAACGCGGCGGCCGTGTACGCGTCCGAGCCCGGCACCCGGTACGGTTCGCGAGTGGTCACCCACGAGCCGGTCACGAACCCGGTAACCAGTATGGCCAGGGACGCGACGCCGAACGCCACGCTGGTCCGGGACACGTTCTCCGGCGCCCGGCTGACCGCGCACATGCTGCCCGCTATGCCGCCTCGGTGCAGCGTGTGTCCGGCGCACGCGACGCTCTTCCAGCCGCCCCGCACCGGCGAGGCGCAGGAGTAGTCGTCGCCGCCGCAGCCGCCGTCGTCGTCGTAATCGTCACAAGTCCATCGCACGTTCGCGGCCGCCACGGCCAACACCGCCACGCCTCGGCCGCCGCTACGGCTGGACACTCGCCTCTCTCCGTGTACCTGGAAAACGGCACGTCTTCGTTATATGTTGTGGGCACGGTCACGGGCCGATAAAATCCGTATTCGTTCCAAGGGAAGTTCTACGTCGCGCTTAAGACTTATACGTTTCAAGCACACGAAATGCATTGGAGACGGTATGAAGATCGAGCGAAATTCTTTGGAAAACGATGTGCACTGAAATCGCAGTTCTAGTGATCGTTCGAGACGTCCCGATTTATTTAATGTTTTTTTTTTTTTTTTTAAATCAACGAATGTCGAAAGTATAATATATTCAGGGTTCGAATGTAGTAGAATTATGTATCACAACGTTTATTTTTCGATGTGCTGATTTAATGCTCGGATAAAAAATAACATTATCGTCTGTATTACATAATTTATTTTTCACCAGAAAAATACAATCATCTGTATTCGACTGTACTCTTCATGCGAAATAAAAATATATTATTACCATTCGACATGAATTATTTTGGTAGAATATAAATGTACACACTTTTCAAGGTGTAAACATTTTGTTGAAAAAAGAAAAAAACACAAATACTACACGACAAGCGAGTAGCCATTTAAAAAAGAAACATTCGGTACCGTAACTCTATCACCAGTGTTATCTCGAAATTATTATGAAAGGACGATACGAACATTATGTAGGAAAGTTGATTTAGGTTAAAAACGTTCGCAGTGAGTACAAAATATGTTATTTCATAGTCCTCGTTGCGTACATAGATTGAGTGAGTCGAGTCGATACTCATACACAATTAAATTGTCATTATTTCCTATATTGTATAACGAATATGCTGATAGTAACCAATGATTATGGTAACTCGTTTATCATTTTTAAATTATAATGTAATAAATAATTAACATTTTGTTTTGCAATAGATAATGTGCAAAGGTTATATACCGTTACTAGTTTAATTAAAAACTAATGTTGGGCAATAATTTAATATTTATCATGTTAAAAGTTGAAATAATATAATTATGAAAACACTAAATCAACACTTTTCCCATACTCGTGTATTAAACGATAAAATCCGAACAGAACAAATTAGTTTTGAACAGGAAACATGTTACAAACATTATTACGAACGTGAACAGAGGATTTATTCCGAAACGAAGGAAGTACAGTATCCCTGATTAGTGCCGTACGCAACGTTGAACAAGAAAACATCTAAATTACCGAGTTGCGCGCATTTGATAGACAAGAGGCAGTATAACTCTGTAATTCCGATTCCCTCAACGAAGTTATCTTTTGACGGGATCTCATTAAACAATGCTAACGCTAAATAAATATACTTTTGGGACGCTATTCAACAGTTATATGAGATCTATCTGAACTGAATGGTGGACTCAATCGGGACGAACGTATGATTTTGTTTTGTTTGTCCGTACACAATAGATGCCTTCGACGTGTTCGGGACAATGCCTAATAGTGTCGTTTTTAAATATACTGGTGATTTTTCTTTGGAATGTAGCATTTCGGATGGAGATCCCAAGCTTTATTTGAACTCGGTGTGCTTTTTTGGGGGATATTCTCGTGGCGACATTGATGCAGTAGGTTTTAAATTTCGAAAATTTCGAATGGATTTAGTGTAAACGACACCCGCATAAACCGAATAATAATAATCGATGATTGCAAATCGCTTTTATACGGTTTTATGAGAAATCATTCGTTAAATGTACACTTCTGTGATATATTAGCGAAAGCCGTGCGGGCTGATCACTGGGAATCATGATAATAATTATACAGCCTAATAAATATTGTAACGTGCACCGAACACAGTATTGAGGACGTATGAAAATGTTAATTTAAACGACACCAAAGTCGATATTTAATGAACGCATGACACAACGATGGCAGTAATATTAACAACATCACATATTAGGGCTGCAGCATGACACGTGAAAACGATGTACACAAATATGCTCTTGGAAATATCATTATCAAAGTTAATCGGCCGCGGAGGCCTTCAATTATTCTTACGACATACGTAAAAAACTTTAAATCAAATTACTAATATAGTATTGTATGTTATTTTTCTTTCGAATACGTTTTCTTATTGAAATTGTGGGTTTTAGTACTAAGAACAAGCTGTATAATGGTTAAGGCTGTTAATTTTAATGCATTTCCCTCCATTGTTTCCAAAGATTCCTTATTCCTGTATAATTACCGTATTATATATATACCTATACCTACAAATTAATTTTATGAACGCTGAAATTAATTTTTCCTTTTTTTTTTTTTTTTTAGAACACAAAAGATTATTTTCAAGGTGTTTTAGAAATTTTTGAATCCAAATTGCGAATTTGAAATTTACGTGATTTTATGTTAAGGTATCAAATTATCACATTTTATCATCGAACAATAGTATTGATGAACATTTTCCAACATAATTTTTTATTAGCTATATTCATTATCAAATTCATCAAAATTATTTAAAATTAAAAACAAATGTTTAGCACATATTTTTAGTACATTATTTAGAATTTTTAAGGAATAAAATCATTTGTTTAAAGACAATGTCTTGAAAATAGTAATGGATATTCGATTCCTATTTTTAAATTAATGGCTATAATTATTAAATATATTGGAAGACTTTTATATAGATAATATACGTTTATTAGGTCAGCGTCCGAGACCTTGTACGTGCGTCAATATTGAGTTCGAGACATAAATAACAAACATGTATTATTTTTTCTCCTCTCGAGACGTTGAATGTACATGATTTTTTTTCCTGTGAGATTATTTAAAAATTGAAACCCTTCACCGTTGATAAATTCTGCTGTGAACGCCACAGCACACGATACATTTTATTGTCACGAGCGTCGACCTTTTGGTCATGAAAACTTATTAAAATCCTCCATATCACAATAAACCCTTCTATAACAAAATTACCGAATGACGGCCCGTCATCAGGCAGACTTTTGATAATATCGGCCGAACGGAATACCCAGAATACTTTCCGACTATTTAAAATAGTCTTTATTGTTTATTTCTGAATTTAGTTTATTCAATAAAAAATTTTGAATTCGTCGGAATAATAAATAATTTTCATAAAATTTGTACGTTCATTTTAATATCAGCCATACCTATTTTTACAAACTCGTTTATCTTTATATTTCTAAATTAATCATTATTTAACCTAATAATTCATTTATGAGTATTCAATTATTTACAGATTAATCTGTTACAGACATGTGTAACGACTAAAACGTTTCCATAATCAATGTGTAATTATCAACGCATCCAAATTAAAGTCATTATACGAGTTAAGAAGAGAGCCAGTGTTAGATAAGCATAGTTTTGGAAATTGTATTCTGACAAATCAAAGGCTGGAGGACAGCAAATAATTTATTTGATCTGAAAAAAATATACTGAACAGCTTGAAGAAAGGAATCACAAAATAATTTAGAAGTTGTCAGTTAGATTTCATTAATTCGTTTAGAATTAAAACTATATTATATACTTTGTCATCGCGTCATCGCTTCGCAGTATATTTCTTCAACAAAACGTATATCATATGACAGATATTAAAATAATTAAACTAGTTTCATGGATTATATGTTAAAGTTACTTAATCAATTAATTAACTATAGTTGATTACTTTATTCTCAAGAAATCATGAGGACGATTATATTTAAGACGACAACCAATAGATAGTCCACTGAAATTATAACACTTGATCCTTCTTGCAGTTTTTAATCACTCAACTAAATAAATAGTTGACGTTTAAGTATTAGCTATAATTACAGGTAGTACAAAAGAAAATATTAGTCACAAACGAACAAAAGAGGAAAATTTTGAAGTGCCCGGGCAACAATCAAAAAATAACAATGGGGCGAAGTTAACAGTCTACTACGGATAGAAAACAAACAAATGCGATCAGTTCAATTGCAACAGTGAAATTATGAACACGTGCTCTCAGTATGAAAACTTGTAGTACACGGGTCCAACATTTCACATCACTGCTAAATACGCGTTAATATGAAAAATATTGAAAATAGAAATATTATTATTTCAATTCATGAAAGCTTTATTCGATTCGTTTAAACATTTAAAATTAGTACATCACTTCCTATTTTAATAATCTTAAAGAACGATAAAATACATATTAATGGATTTGGTCTAATTGGTATTCGATCATGTAAGATAATTAATATGCGAGCATACAATTCTACCTAAATGTACTGTGCAAACTGTGTTTAGATGTGCTCTGCATGAACTGAACATAAAAACAAGTATTTTTCAGTTGTATTGATTTACAAAACAGCATGATATAATAGTAGTGGATTATGGTAACGAAAAAATATATTTATTCTTTTTTGTAAGTCCTTTGGGCCGAATGGGTCCAGAAAAACACGTGTCACATCTTTTTATAAATATAAAAACTTTCGAAATACCTGTAAATATGAATACCACATGCTGACCGTTCACCATGCACGATTACTGATCGATTGCATGTATAACATTATGTATTTGTAAATATATATATAGGTATATATATAAAAATAAATACATTTGTACTTATTTTAAGTATTCAAGTATAATATAAATATTCCAAACGGCTATTAAACGAGAAATACTTTAGTATTGTAAAATATTTACTATCTATCAATATGCATGTGTGTATAGTTATGGAAAACGTGTATGGACATATATGGTGATCCGCATTCAACAATAACTAACTATTCTGATGAAAAGAAATAATGCACCTGCCCAATGCATTGCCATTGGCTATTTGAAAGGTAAATATATATATATATATATATATATATACATAGATAATATAAATTTATAATAGTGCATTCAATTTTCTATGATCTCAAGCCAACCTCGAAGAACCAGCTTACAACGTTTTACCATGCAATTTTTTCATGTGGAAATTCTCCAATGTCGTTTCGGTTATAATCACTAAGTTTTGCTTTCTACGGTATATTTCACTTATTTATGTGTATTTTCGACCGATATTTATACTTTAATACGGATTCAAAAATATCTAGGTAAA